CTGTAATCACTTGGTGTTGAAGCAGATGTAGATTTAGGAAAAGTTATAATAATGCTCTTTCCATATTGACGGGAAGTAAGGGTGTTTTAAACAGTAGTTATGAATCTTTAAGATGTAAGATTTTTCTGTTAACATGATCATGTCCTGGGGCGACATTTTTTTCTTCTTGTAGAACTTTATAGTATTCTGTTTTGCTAATAGTGAGAGGGGTTAAGTTGACGTTTTTAACCTTAAAGAAATTGTACAAGACATTGATGTTGTTAAGATTCGTATCATCAAATTCTGGATAATCTAAAAATTTATAGCTATTTTCAAAATAATTTAAGAAGGCTGTTGCTATATCTTTATATGATGTTTGGTTATTTTCAATCATTTTGTGGGATTGGGGACAGTTTCCATATTTTAAAAGTTTTTTAATCTCTTTCCAATAGTTTTTTCCTCTTAGTCAATAATGTTTTTACAAGTCTCAAGCCATTTATGTGTTTTGTATTGGGCAACCAAATTGTGGATTAACTTGTTATATTTATTGAAGAGAGTTTTTAACTGAGGATCATTATTTTGTATAATTTCTCTGTACAGTTTTCTTTTCGTTTTTAGAATTTCAATAGTGGATGGTGGAAGACTGTAGTTATATATTATCTTTTTACTTTGGGTGTGTTATTTATAACGCTCTTTTCCAGTTTTACAACAAAATTTTTAATAGATGTTTTGTCAAATGGTCTTTCCAAAGAGCAAACATTTAATAGTTCCATGTTTACTTTTTCAAAGTTGCATTGATCAAAATTCAGGTACTACACTACAAGTACTCAGGAATGAAAACGGTTGGAAGTTAATAGCTGATAATTTTAAATTGAATGGCTAAATGATCAGTACATAAGTCAGTGATAACAGATAGGTTTTTTATATTGTTTAGTCTGTTTTTTGTACATAGAAGAATATCTCGCGTGGAGTTGGGGTTATTGGTCATAATGAAAGTGGGAGGAGTTTTTAGTTGCTCCAATTTGGAATTATTTAAAAAGTTAGATATTTGTTTTTTCTTTTGCTGATTTGCCTTAAAATCTCCAATTATAATGGCATATTTACAATGCGAGGCTTTAACATACCATCTTCAATTACGCAATGTAGTATACCTATATGCAGTTTGTCTGCGAAAAAGGAAAGGGAGACATGAGGAGTTTTATTCAAAGGGTTGTTGATTATTGGTGGGTTTTGTTTCGAGCTTCTTGATAAGACTACCACCTCTCACGTTAGTGTTAGGTATATTACCTTTTTTTTAATAATGGATCAATCTCTAAATGGACTGATTTCTTCTTAGTTTCTACAAACAAAGAGTATTGTATATAATTTTGTTGTAAGTAATTATATACTAATTGATTTTCCTGTTGAAACTATTGATGTTTGAATATAAGAATTTAAGATGATGGATCTTGTAATTAGATATTGAGTTCAGTAGGTGTTCCATAGTTTGGTTAATCTACATAGATTAAACATTAAATTTTAATGTTTAAAACATACAGCCTATTGCCAGAAAAAAACTGTCTGTATCAATGTTATATAAGTTTGGTTAATCTACATAGATCAAACATTAAATTTTAATGTTTAAAACATACAGCCTATTGCCAGAAAAAAACTGTCTGTATCAATGTTATATAATTTTATGAGTTTTTTTCAGTTTTTGTCTGAGTAATTTGGGTTGTTTATTTAAGTTAAGTGTTAATAATCAGATCGTGTTGTATAAGTGTTATGGATTTTACTTTTATTTCCTAGTTTTAACTTTTAATTCGGCCAATCTTTTATTATTATAATAATAAAAGAAGTCTATAGACTTAATTGTATATTGGGTATGTCGTCAATGGTTGAGTTACACACTAAGCATTTTGGAGTTGTTTGACAGGAGTTTAAATTGTGATTTTCACGACATTTAGTACTTACAGATAGTTTTTTCTTTACAACTAGCAGTTGTGTGTGAACTGGGAGCAATAATTGCAACAGTTCACACACAATTATTATTGCATGGAGGTGGGGGAGGTAGGCTTGTATATACAACATAATATCTATTTTTAAAGAAAATGCCCTCATTAAGAAGTTGTTTATAAGATTTATTTTATTAGGTGATGAATTTTGGGAATTTGAAGTATTGGGTAAAGAGTATTGAGAATTTGATGCATTAGAGTTTTGTGGATTTTTGGAATTCTCTGTATTAGTTATAATTAGGGGAACACTAGGGTGGTCGTTAAAAATTAAATTTTTTGCGACGCCCCCTAAAAAGCTTTGTTTTGATGAAAAAACATTGGGAATTTTTGTTTTGTTTTTTTAATTAAAAACAACACGTGCCTCAAGACGATCTAAGTTAATTTTTTGGTATAATCAATGATTATTAATCATGTCTTTTCTAAAAATATGGAATAATAGTTTTTTTGAGATTTAAAAATTATTAACAATGAAATAACTTCACCTTGGAGTGAAGAAATCTAGATATTAAAAATACGTTTGTACCAATTTAGTTTTAAAATAAAAATATCAATTTGAATATCATTAATTTTTTTATTTAATAGACCAAATCAACTGGGAAAAATTTTGAATTAAAATTTTTGTCTATTGTTATTTAGATTAACTATTGTTTTTTATTGATTTGGGTTCTATAATTGTTTATATTTCCGAATAAAATTTTATTTTTCATAAAAAATTCCCAAAAAAACATGATTATACCAAAAAATTAACTTAGATCGCCTTGAGGCACGTGCACTGTAAAAAATATTTAACACAAGTCTACACGCCCCAACACCAAATTGTGTTATTCCAAGTCCACACGAAATCTTGTAAAATTTTAACACAGCATCAGTGTGTTGATTTGTTTTTTAAATAGTGTAATAATTTGCACGAAGAATAATTAAACTTTCACACAATGTTTGTTTAATTTTTACAGTAGGTATTAAATTTAACACCAGATGGTGTTATTATTTAATATTTTAGTGTATTAAATTTTACACTAAATTGGGTAGATAAATAAAAATTACGTTTAAAAAATACTTTTATTAAAAAAAATATTTTATAATTTCAAGTAGACAAAATATTATATTTTTAAATTTTACACGATATTTGTTAAAATTTACACAACTTTGTGTAACATTACACGATATTTATTAAATATGAGTTTATAACACATTAACGTGTAAATTAACAAGTGGTTACACGTTTTAGTGTTGATTCCCAATTTAGGAACATTCGTGTAAAAGTATTTACACGATTTTTACACAAAATTTACACAAAAATTTTAACACAAAAAAAGAGAATTTACACACTGATATTTTTTGCAGTGTGTTGTTTTTAATTAAAAAAAAATCCCAGTGTTTTTTCATCAAAAAGAAGCTTTTTAGGGGGCGTCGCAAAAAAATTAATTTTAACGCTCTTATTATTGTTTTTGGCCACGATAATTTCGCGTATTTTATCCTTTTTCGATTCACTTAATGATATTCTCTTACTTGGTACTATGGTAAATGTTCTCAGAAAATGCAAAAAATATTATTTTTACACCATCAGAAAGTAGAGATTTCAACTAACAAAAAGCACACCGACTTTTTAAAAAAAGCTGATATTTTGACGCGAGAATTTTCGATTGAAAATTAGGGTGCTTTTTTGATATTAAGTCAAAATAAGGCGAAATAATAAATATTTCAAATCAAATAAATTACAGTGTATTTGGGACATAAAAAGGTAAATTTTCACGAAATTTCGTGGAAAAAAATGTTTTTTTGAAAAAGATAAAAATAAAAAACCAAAAACTTTGCTATTTAACTTTTTTCCATAGGACTTGTAGTTTTGCCGGAAATCGAGATAAACCATTTTTTACCCTTAAAACCCACTTCCCGAAGTCAGATCGCCCGTAATTTATTTTTCCTTTCATTTTTATTATATTCTTCTCCTTTTCTAATGGGTTTCATCCTACTGTTATTTTTTTTGGTTTCAAAAATTATCAACCCTGGTCTACTATGACCCATTCCATTTTATTACCAGTATGATCATCACCAAAGTTACTCATAATTTTAATTTAATTAAATTAAGACTAAATTTGCAGAGCTCTTAAAAACACGAGTACAGTCGTTGTCGTACGTACAATATTCAGATTAAACGCAAAAAGTTTTTGCCAAGAACCCATGAAAGGATTAAAGTCTTACTTTTTACTCATCCAGATTTTTTATTAGTGCTGACGTCAGAGCAGCCAGATTGTTCAAATGTATTCTAAAAAGCAATTTTAATACGGCGCGCCGCGGCGTTTATAGGTTTTTTATTAATATAATTAAATTCTTAACAATAATAAAGGCTTAAAGTGAGTTTCTGTTTTATATACTGTTATAAAAATCAGATTTGTTAACATCAGTTTTTAGTTTGTCACTTTTATTGATCGTTTAGCCATTATTCGTTACTGCTGGGGATCTGCTCAGTAACGAATAATGGCTAAGTGGTCAAGTGTTAAAGACGTATCTTGCCATTCAGAGGATGTCAGGACCTAACATATAGAGCCAGGACGTCTGTAGGCTATAGCACATATGCGGTCGTTGGCGGCACTCGGCCACCTATACATAGCCGACAATCGGCCGAGTAAACATAGCCGACATTCGGCATGTCCGTGCTTACTGGAAAATGTTAAAATTAAAAGTTAAAATTAGTAAACATGTGACCCCCAGAAATTGTAACAGACAATACAGACACCAATCATTTCACAATATTTAAATAACTATAAAAATCAAATACCAAAATTATTTCAAAAATGGCGAACGCGCCGGGATCACATATAATAATAATATTATATTATGTAATCCCGGCTATTTTTTAAAAGTATTATTTTTGGTTTTATTTATTTTTTCAATTAATAAATAAATATAATATAATAATAAATAATGAAATAAAAATTATAATAATGGAAAAATGTATAAACAATATTATATGATAAAAAATTACGTATAGGTAAAACAGAAAAATAAACCATAAATAAATATGTGTTTGTGATAATTTCAAAACATTTTATTAAAAAAATATTATAATAGATTTATAAAAATATATTGCCACGCATTAAAATTTATTAAAAAAATATTTTCAAAATTAATTTTCATAAACACACTCCCCAGCAATCCAAGTAGAAACCAAATTTAAATCTGAATCCAAAATAACAAAATCAGCTTCAGAATCAAAATTTAAGGTCCCTTTTTGATTTTCTATGCCCAAAACTTTAGCTGGATGTAAACTGGCTGCCTCAAATGCATATTCTCTAGTACATCCTGAAATAAAAAAAATAAGGAAAAGTTTTAAAACTATAAAAATTCTAAATTGTTTACCTGTTGCTTCAACAAAAAGTCTAACACATTCCAGCAGACAAGCCATACTACCACATAATGTATTAGTACCCGCAATAAACGCCATTTTATTTCTTATTTCTATTTTTAACTGCCCTATACTATGTGAACCTTCATTTAAACCTAGCGCTGAAATAGCATCAGTCACAAGTATCAAACCTACAATAAATAAGTAGAAAAATTATACAAAAGTGTCTAGATTTACTAAAAAACCTTTTGGACAAACTCTATAGGCGATTCTTTGTGCAGCTGGATGTGTATGAATATTATCAGCGATTATACCAAAGTAAATGGTGTCGCATTTATCGCTGGCTAGCAAGCCTACCAGACCTGGATCTCGGTGATGAAACTAAAATTTAAAAATATGCAGTTACAAACTAGGTACTATTATTAATTTTAATCAATCAATCAATTTTATTTAAGGTACTTTTCAAACGTTCCTGAACTCCCGCCATATTGCATGACGTCATAAACTTACACCAGTGTCAGAAATCAAGATGTCAACAAATAATAAACACCGATAAAGTTTATGTTTAACATAGAAAATTGGTTGTAAATATTGTTTTGTGCCTTGTTGTACAAATACAACCTGGAAAACTCCTGGGAAAGTTGTCCCTTCAATTATCAAAAGCAAAGTTTATGACCCTACACTGAGAGCCGTTACGGCTCAGCCGTATTTTCTTGAGTTTATTATTATTTAACATACCTATTCCAACCATATACCTAGTAAACGACATTCTATTTTACTTACATTAAAATGATCCTCGCAGCAATAAAATGTTGACTGCGGTGACGATGTTTTGATATCGCGCCGAGCTATTTTAATCCACTTTATCCTTATTTTCCCTTTTGGCACGGTGATAAACCTTTTCCCAGGAGTTTTCCAGGTTGTATTTGTACAACAAGGCACAAAACAATATTTACAACCAATTTTCCATGTTAAACATAAACTTTATCGGTGTTTATTATTTGTTGACATCTTGATTTCTGACACTGGTGTAGCTTTATGACGTCATGCAATATGGCGGGAGTTCGGGAACGTTTGAAAAGTACCTTTTTTCAATTTGATATTAGTAAAAGTAACTAGATACTTTTTATGTAACTGCGTTTGTAACTAGTTATTTATCTCAATCTAGTAAGTATGGCTGTAACTAGTTACGAATTTTGGGTAGCTAGGACTAGATATAAAGATAAAGTTTTGAATTAAATATATAGGGACTATTAAATATAAATATATATAAATATATATATATATATATAATATTATATATATATTATATATATATATATATATATATATATATATTAGGGTGGGATGGAAATCAAACTTTGGCCTCGAATAACTCTGGAAGGAATCAATATATAGAAAAATGATAGGAGACCTTTTTTATAGAGCGTTAAATTTACTATAAAAATGTAAGATGTTTCTTGCCATAAGTTGATTCGATATAGACGTATAAAATTCCAAAGTTAAAAAAAAAAATTTCCTATGTTATTTAAATGGGAAATAGAAAATTGCGATCCGCGACCTCTAAATCTTCAAATTAAAAGCTCAAATTTTAACGAGGTCTTTGTTTTGACATCCTCTGAAAGAATTTGCTGACCATTTGAAGAAAAAGAAAAAGTCGATTTTTTTGAAACACCCTAATATATATATATATATATATATATTATGGTGCTTCAAAAAATAAAATTTATTTTTTTTTTCGCTCTTAGCCTCTCAAATGTTTCTATTTAATATAAAAAAAATCCTCACCAAATATGGGCGTCTCAGCTCAACTCTAAGAGGTCGCTGTTTTTATTTTAGTTTCCCATTTAATCAACATGGGAAAAATAATTTCATGTTTGTAATTTTGTACCTCTGTATCAAAGTAACTTATGGCAATGATCATTGCAGTTTCTTATGTAAAATGTAACGCTCTACAAAAAAGCTCTCTTATTATTTTTCGATAAATTGATTTCTTCTAGAGTTATTCGAGGTCAAATTTTGATAACATCAGCAGACAGAAGGTGAAAGGGGGCAAAACAAGGCAGCGGGGAGGGGGCGAAATGGGGTACCCAAAAAATGAGCATATGAAAAGTTTTCCAAAATTACCATCCTTTTTCTCGCTATACAGGCTCAGAATAATTATTTTCGATTAAAAGCGTGAACTTGTTAGTCAATTTTCAAATAATTTAGAAAGTAAAAATTTTTTTTACGAATTTTTTTGGGTACCCAATGTGCCCCCCTCCCCGCTACATTGTTTTGCCCCCTTTAACCTCCCGTCTGCTAATTGTACCATAAAATTAAAAAAAAAAACAGAAAATTTGACCTCGAATAACTCTAGAAAAAATCAATTTATCGAAAAATAATAAGAGACCTTTTTTGTAGAGCGTTGCATTTTACATAAGAAACTGCAATGATCATTGCCATAAGTTACTTTGATACAGAGGTACAAAATTACAAACATAAAATTATTTTTTCCCATGTTGATTAAATGGGAAACTAAAATAAAAACAGCGACCTCTTAGAGTTGAGCTGAGACGCCCATATTTGGTGAGGATTTTTTTATATTAAATAGAAACATTTGAGAGGCTAAAAGCGAAAAAAAAATAAATTTTATTTTTTGAAGCTCCCTAAGATACATATATATACAGTGGACTTAACTATACTTGTAAAAATATTTATTTTCAATTTTTCAAGGAAAAGTCATTTTTCATAATTTCTTTTGCTTGTTATATAAAACCAATTCGCGTTGAGAAACTTTTATTTTGCAAAATACAGATTTTCAAAATTGAAAATTTTTAAATATTTTTTTTTGAAGCGCTAATATAAAGAGTAAGAGGAAATCAAAAAGTCTAATGAAGTTTTTTCATATGACTTTTTAATACCAAAATATTTGATATTCAAAATTAAAGATATAAGTTTTCAAATTTTAACAAATAATTGTAGACATTGTAGACATGTCAGTTGAAAGCAAAATAATAGGACCACTTAAGTTAGGACCTGAATCGATTTTATTTTTAATAACAAATATCTTAGTAACAACAACTCGCATGAAAAAATTCATTTGGCTTTTTGGTTTCTCCTAACAAGCTTTTAATATTAGATCTACAATTGTATTTTTTGCGGATCCTTTACAACAAAATGGAAGTTTCTCAAAGTGAATCATATTTAAATAATAAGCAAAAGAAATTATGAAGAATGACTTTTTAAAAAAATTGAAAATAAATATTTTTACAAGTACAATTGGCGTCCCCGAAATGTGAACGGCAAAATGCATCAGTGTCGTCGGTAGTTGTCAAATTTGATAATAGTTGTCAATTGCAATATTAAAAATGCCACCCCACTTAACCGAGGCTCAGAGGTCCAGGGCAATAGCCAAATTAGAAGAAAATTGGTCTTTAAGTGAAGTAGCTGCAGATTTAAATGTCAGTAAAAGCTGCATATTTTATATCAAAAAACATTGGCAAGAACAACAAAGATTAAGAAGACCTATCAGGCAAGGTGTAGGAAAAATCTCCAACGAAAATGAAGACAATGCTCTTGTCGCACATATTAGGCAAAATCCTTTCAATAGCGCAGTTAAGGCCCGAGAAGATACACAATTTCCAGGATCTCTTCGAACAGCTCAAAAAAGATTGAAACAAGCTGGTTTAAAAAACTGTGCTGCTGCTCATAAGGTTTTTTTAACTGAAGAAAATAAGCGCAGGAGAGTCCAGTTCGCCAATGACTATTTAAATTATGGAGAAGATTTTTGGAATAATGTTATATTTTCGAATGAAAAAACGTTCCAATCTTGCAATAATGGAAGGCTGCGTGTATATCGTCCAAGAAACGCAAGATTTGAGGAGAACTATACATTAAAAACCTCAAATAGTGGACGCTTTTCCATAAATGTTTGGGCGTGGATAAGCATCCATGGTCCGGGAGTATGTTGGGAAATTGATGGTAGATTAACGGCTGAGCACTATACCAGGATTTTGGACAACGTTATGCTACCTTCAGTTAGACATGTGTTTCCAGAAAACTTTATATTTCAACATGTAAGAAAACTGTATAGTATTCAAAAACGATTCTAATAAATATTATATTACAGGACAATGCACCAGTTCACACAGCTCGCGTGGTTACAGAGTGGGTAAACAACAACCACATAACTGTTTTGCCATGGCCAGCTAGAAGCCCTGACTTAAACCCCATTGAAAACGTGTGGGGTTTTATAGTTAAAAATATATATCAACGGGACTTTAGGCCAGCAAACCGAGATGAACTATGGAGTGCTGTTGAAAATTCTTGGGATGAGCTTGCTGATTCATACGACATGCGTGAGCTAATAATGTCCATGCCAAGAAGGTTGCAAAGGGTTGTGGCAGCTAATGGCTCTGCAATTAAGTATTAAAATAGCTTAGCAGCACAGTTTTTTAAGCCAGCTTGTTTCAATCTTTTTTGAGCTGTTCGAAGAGATCCTGGAAATTGTGTATCTTCTCGGGCCTTAAATGCGCTATTGAAAGGATTTTGCCTAATAAGTGCGACAAGAGCATTGTCTTCATTTTCGTTGGAGATTTTACCAACACCTTGCCTGATAGGTCTTCTCAATCTTTGTTGTTTTTGCCAACGTTTTTTGATATAAAATATGCAGCTTTTACTGACATTTAAATCTGCCGCTATTTCACTTAAAAACCAATTTTCTTGAGCAATATGTTAATTTAGTTATGTTATTTTTATTGTGTATTTACCTACTTGTTAATTTATATTGTTGTATAAAACCAAATTAAAGTTAATTTATTTGTTATATTGTTTATATTATTGTTTGTTAAAATATTATTAAAAAAATAGAACGATTTTACCTACACCTTGCCTGATAGGTCTTCTCAATCTTTGTTGTTTTTGCCAACGTTTTTTGATATAAAATATGCAGCTTTTACTGACATTTAAATCTGCCGCTATTTCACTTAAAAACCAATTTTCTTGAGCAATATGTTAATTTAGTTATGTTATTTTTATTGTGTATTTACCTACTTGTTAATTTATATTGTTGTATAAAACCAAATTAAAGTTAATTTATTTGTTATATTGTTTATATTATTGTTTGTTAAAATATTATTAAAAAAATAGAACGATTTAGGATATTGTTCTTATTCTTAGTATTCTCCCTTCTATATGTAACACCACTGGCCGAAGCCAGGAATGAACGAATAAATTTTATGAAAAAAATCCATGACAACAAAAAATCGTTCACATTTCGGAGACGCCAATTGTACCTATATCTATATAGTATAAGTATATATCTGTGGACACACTGTATATTTATATATAAATATTGAAATATGAAAAACACCTCCTTTCTACTTCTTTCTGGCACTTTT